CCATCCAGCCTCTATTTAAAGACCTACAAAGAAGGAGACTCCACCAAAATCTAAGAGGGAGTGTGTTCCACTTTTGAACAGCTCTCACTGTCAGGAAGGTCCTTCTGATGTTGAGGTGGAATCTCTTTTCCTGGAGCTTGCATCCGTTGTTCTGATTCCTAGTCTCTGGAGCAGCAGAAAACAAGCTTGTTCCCTCCTCAATGTTACATCCCTTCAAATACTTAAACAGGGCTCTCATAGCCCCTCTTAACCATCTCTCTCCTCAAAGGGCTTTATAGTTTCCAGACCTTTCACCATTTCAGGCACCCTCCTCTGGACATGCTCCAATTTGTCAACTTCCTTTTTGGTATTCCAGGTGAGGCCTGACCAAGACAGGATAGAGTGGCACTTCCCTTGATCTAGACACAGTATACTTCTACTGATGCAGCCTAAAATCGCATTGGCCTTTTCAGCTGCCGCAACACACTGTTGCCTCATGTTCACCTTGCAGTCTACTAGGACTCCTAGATCCCTTTCGCATATACTGTTGTCACGCCAGGTGTCTCCCATCCTTTATCTATGCCTTTCTTTCTGCCTAAGTGCAGTACTTTACATTTCTCCCTGTTGAGATTCAATTTGTTAGTTCAGGCCAAGCTTTCTAATCTGTTAAAAGCATGATTTGTGGGTGACAAATTATTTTAAATGTTGATCATGTCCTCTGGGGCATTCGCTACTCCTCTTCATTTGGTGTCACCTGCAAATCATGCTTTTATTAATTTCAGGGGCAAGAATTACATCCTTTAATGCAGAGTCAGAAACCACCCAGCCTTCCAGAGAGTGTTGGACTGCAACTCCCAGCATCCCTCAGCAGAACAGTGAGGAGGGCCAGAAGTTGGAATTGAACAGCATCTGGAGTGCCATGCCATTCCCAGATCTAGGCTAACGGGAGCTAAAAATCTTCCGAATCCTGAGAATGTGATTATTTTCCAAACCCAAATGGATTATTTTTCCCAGCCTGTCTCCATATATCTAAGCAAGGAGCCTCAACCCTCCTGGGGAGATTGCAAAGGGGTGCAAAGTGCTTGTGCAAATTCAGCATTTGCTAATTAGGAAAACTGGGGAGGGAAAGCCTGATCTTGCGATTTTTAGAGGGGACAATGCGGGAGCGTGGGAACCGTGCGGAGATTATTTTGGGCCAGCAAGGACCTCGGATCGGAAAAGGGAAGGAAATTGAATGTGACAAGTGCATCACACAACCTAATAGCGGCACTCAGCTTTTTTTAAGGCAAAACCTTTCTTTTTAAAAAAAAACAGTAGGTGGCTTCAGCAGAGATGACTGACAACTTCTGCTAGGCAATTTGGCTCCTCAGATTTGGCTACAGGAGCCAAAAATCCACAAAATGGTGGTTGTTTGGAAAGTGGGGGCTCCATCTGGATGCTAGGGTTGTACAGATTCAGATATCATCTCCTATACTACTAAATGTGGTAAGAAACAGCCAGGTATGTATGTATGTGGTCATCATGAGAGCCATCATGACCTAGTGGTCAGAGTGTTGGACTAGGACTCTGGGAGACCAGGGTTCGAATCCCGCTTGGCTATGGGAACCCACTGGGTGGCCTCAAAAATGAGGGATTTGTAGTTTGCTGAGGTCCTTACAATTCTATGTTGGAAGAACCCAATTACAGCAATAGAGCTCTCTAGCAGAGAAATCTTATCACCTCATCAAACTATAAATCCCAAAAGTCCACTAGACAAGGCAATGTCAGTTAAAGAGCTATCAGACTGCTATAATTGTGTCGTCTACATATGCCCTAACATGTAATGAAGTTACATTAACAGTAAGGGAAATGTTTACTTATTCTGCAGTATATTTTTAAATTTTCAAGGAATGAGTAGCTTCACTACTTAGATCTGGGTTGTTGTTTGGCAAAAGCTTGTATCTGTCTGGTTTTTTAAAATAACTAAAAAGGCCACTGTTTTAAATACTTTGAATAAAGAGAAAAGAAAGTGTTACTTTGAATAAAAAGAAAGGAAAGCATTATTTTAAATAAAGTGAAAGGAAAGTGTTACTTTGAAGAAAGAGAAAGGAGAGTGTTACTTTGAAGAGAGGTAAAGGAAATATTTACTTTGAAGAAAGAGAAAGGAAAGAGTAACATTGAATAAAGAGAAAAGAATGTGTTGCTTTGAATAAAGAGAAAGGAAAGAGTTACTTTGAATAAAGAGAAAGGAAAGTGTTACTTTGAATAAAGAGAAAAACAAGCATTAATTTCAATAAAGAGAAAAGGAAGTATTACTTTGAATAAAGAGAAAAACAAGCATTAATTTCAATAAAGAGAAAAGGAAGAGATACTTTGAATAAAGAGAAAGGAAAGTGTTAATTTTTTAAACTGTAACCAATTGTAACCAAAACCGTTAATTGAATTATGGATGGGGCCTCACGTTGTAACTAGTTACTTTTAACTAGTAAAATCTAGTTACTAGAAAAAAAACTAGTAACCAGTAAAAAACTACTAGTAAAACCCTAGTAACTAGTAAAATCAAATTCCAAGTTTTTGGTTCAAATGTAGATAAGGCTTAAGTTTTTGCTTAGCTCCAGTATCTAGTTTTGTGCAACGCTCTCAGGTGGATGTTTTGTTGCATAATTCCTCCTGTGTCTCCGAGGTTTTTGCCGTCGGACAAAGTGGCAGGATGAAAGGAACCATACCTGTTAAATTTTCATGTATTTATGCATTATTATCGCTTGACAGTCAGGAATAATATCCTCTCCCTTTTATCCTGCCTTCCCCTCTTCGGAGCTTGTATTCTTTCGCTCTTTCTCTTTTTAAAAGAAAAGAAGCAGCAACCGCGTGTAAAAGAAGGCTGAATTAAATCCTAGTTAGAATGACTTGGCTTCAAATAGTCTGAGATCTCAGATCTAGGGAGGCTTGCCAGGTTCGGGGACCCTTGGGTCTTCAAAGGTAGATCAGTCTGCTCCAGCGTTTGCCTTTGATGTTTTCACCTACAAAACTGTCACCGCACAACCGGCGCTGCTGTTATTTCTCATTGCATGTGAAGGATGCACTAAAAGGTTAATTTCAAATCATGTCAAGTTTTATGCCATTAAAGTCAGAGCCAGATTATATATATATATATATATATATATATATATATATATATATATATCTGCAACATTACTGGGGAATAGATCATGGAGGGAAGAGGCTTGTGCTACCTTGAGCTTGCAAATTCTGGTAAGAAGAAACCAATGAGTTTGTGCAGGTAGATACACAGAGATTCATATATACATTGACTATCTAACCAAGAGGGGGAATGTGGGCCACATGTGGCCCCAAAAATTACTTGCCAGCCCCGCAACACACACAAACATTGGTGCAATTTGCAAGCACACAACCAAACACAAACCAAACCACGGGAGACCTCTGACTAAACAGTCACCAAAACAATTGTATTGGCTGTAATTCTACTTTTGGACATCAGCTTTGTGTTTCATTTCTGTATATTACATAGTTGTTGTTTTGTAAACATGTGGCTCCCCAAACTCTTTGCCAGCCCCCCAACACACACAAAAATTGGTGCAATTTTCAAGTACACAACCAAACACAAACCACGGAAGACCTCTGACTAAACAGTCACCAAAACAATTGTATTGGCTCTAATTCTACTTTTGGACATTAGCCTTGTGTTGAATTTCTGTATATTACATCGTTGTTGTTTTTCTAAACATGTGGCTCCCCAAACTCTTTGCAAGCCCTCCCCAACACAAAAAAATAATTGGTGCAATTTGCAAGAACACAACCAAATACAAACCACTGAAGACTTCTGACTAAATAGTCATCAGAACAATTGAATTGGCTGTAATTCTACTTTGAGACCTCAGCCTTGCATTTCATATCTGTATATTATCCAGTTGTTGTTTTTCTAAACCACAGGAACATGTCCATACATATTGAACCAATACATATTGATCCAAGTTACGTTGCATATGTTTTCCTATTACAAGTGTATATAAACATAAGTGCCCAGTTGAATTGGGTATTTTTATTGACACCATACACCTGTATTTGTGTTTCATCGTCATTTTCAAGGGACTTTCATCTCAAAGCCATGCAATCCCCCAAACCCAAAGCCTATCTCCTATCCATCCATATACAACTCCCCCAAGTACTGCTGTTTTAGTCCATCTCCTTCCCAAAAATGGTGACAGCCAATAATGCTCCACTCCTTCTTGTCACCATTTTGGGAAGCATAAGGAGTTAAAACGGAGGTATTTTGGCAAGCTTTATATATATATGTGGCCCAGGGAGGAGGACTGGTTGTGGTGGGAAATGGGCCCCGAGTCACTGTCCAGTTGTCCATCTCAATTTTGTCCATGGTTCTTGGGACCTTCCTAGGAATTCTGCCTATGAAAAGATGCCTCATTTGGTCAGCATTATGTGGAACAAAGCAGTTGAGGCAAATATTTCCAATATGCACAAGTTTGCTGGGTTCACACATCTTGCATTATTCCTCAATGCTGATGTATTTGTGAACCTTTGACACAAGACAATGGGCATCCACTTGATACAGAAGATAAGATAGCAGCAAGAGGTGTTTTTTCCCCTCTCCTGTGTGGTTTTTAACACCTTGCCTGATGAAGAAGCCAGTGGAGCTTTGAAAGCTTGCAACATGTCTATTGTGCATTTTGGTTGGCCCCATAAAAGTATCAACTATGTGGATTTTTGATGTTATTGGATTTGTTATATGGCCAACACGGCTACCCCTGAATGTTAGCAAAGGGATGGTGGGGTGGAAAGAAACAGGTTTGCTTAGGAAAGCCACAAGGAAGGAAAGGTTGGAGGGGATGGAGGAAGGCAGCTGGAACTGCTGAGCTGTGTCAAAAACCCCTTCTTTTGCAGATTGACGGGCAAAGTGTCGCCGGAAAGCAATTACAGCCCCAACACCCCACGGACCCTGTTTATCACATTGATTAATCCACATTGCAAAATGGAAAAACCCACCGTCCTCCAAGCAAAACTGGAACAGCTGTCGAAGCCTGGATGCTGAAGGGTGGGTTCGGATCTTCCCCTACCCGATCCGTTGAAAAGTATAGCTCCAATCCCATTAGAAAAGACAATGATGCTGGGAAAGGTAGAAAGTTGTAAGGAAGATGGGTAGATGGCTAGACTCAATCAGGCCTGAATTTGGAGGACCTGAGCAGAGCAGTGGAGGACACGGGATCTTGGGGATGTCTCATCTACAGGGTTGCCATGTCTTGAGATCGACTCAAGGGCAGCTAACAACAACAAACCTTCAAGCTAACTTATGGCGACTTAATCTTAAGAGTTGTCTTGGCAAAACTGCTTCAGAGGGGGTTTGCCATTTCCTTCTTCTGAGGCTGAGAGAGTGTGACTTGCCCAAGGTCACCCAGTGGTTTTCCATGGCCAAACTGGGACTCAAACCCTGGTCTCCAAAGTCATAGCATAATCCAACATTCAAACTACTATGCCATGCTGGCCCATGTTTTGGGACAGATTTATTGGGAGGTTTCCAATTGCTTTTCTCTCTGTCCGAAGGAATGTGACTTGCCTAAGGTCATCCTTCTGCGGCTGAGCAGGACTTGAACCCTGGTCTTCCAGAGTCCTAGTCCAACATTCGAACCATTACAACACACTGGCTCTCAGTGAAAACCCATTGACTTTAAAAAATAAAATGTATTCATTTCTAAAAACAAAAAACAGAAATTAATATGAGAAACGTAGATCAACAACACAAATACATTGACAAATGCTGTCAGAGAACATAGGGCATGAGTGATGTTATCTTGATCTTGAAATGCAAAATAAATCTCCCTGCAATTATTTGTTCTATTGGATTAATCCTTTCCAAACAGAACCATGGGTCAACAGAATATGACTTCTCTCCTCATTAGTTTGATTTACATAGGAAATAAATGGGAACGGTGTCACCTCAAAGGTATTATCATCTTTCTGTTCTGTCGCTCGTCTTACTTGCCATGTTAGTCTTTCTGATAGTGCTAAATTCCAAACCTTTTTATATCTGGGTGCTACAAGGCTCTTCCAGTTGCTGGCAATCTCCTGTCTGGCTGCTAATAACAGAAAGGAAAGCAAATCTTTAGGTATTATTTCCTGATTCACACCGTTCAATAAATTTAGTAATGCCAGTCCTGGATCCAGGGTGATGTGGCCTTCCATCGTCTGGTTAGTTTCAGCCTCTATATCCTGCCAGAATCCTTGTTATCTATCGCTGGACAATCCCACCATGTATGAAGATAGGACCCTAACAAACCACAGTTAACTTAAGAGAACATTGCCCCCATTTCATTGCCAAGACACAGAGCTCATCGGTCTTTTTCATGGGCCTGAACGTTGCATTTAGCAGGCAGGTTAATCCGGACTGACTCGAAGTCGATTGCTCCGCTGGCAGCCCTGAATCTTTGGAACGGTCCTCTAAATCTAAACAACCAAGTGGCTTTGAGCGATGGAGGTGATGAAAGTGGGCATCCGTCGGCTATAAAAAGCCGCCTCTCCAGCTCCTTTCTGCCATGTGGATGGGGTGATATTTCTCTTGCTGATTTGTCTCCTGGCTTGGAATCGAAAA